AGCTGCCAGGTCTGAGACTCAAACTGCAGTCAACTATGTGGGAGTCCAGTACCCTTAGCCACCATGCACTTGTCAGCCCCTATTATTATTGCTTAATTTAACCAGAGAGAGAGAGGGGAAAAGTGAGAAAGCAAGCCACCAGGTCCAGGACTTGAACTGTGGTTGACCATGTGCCTTAACCACTACACACCACCTGCCAGTCCCTCCGTAACTGTTTTTTTTTTTTAAGAATTATTTATTTTTAATTTTATTTATTATCATTATTTTTCAGTTTTGACCAGAGACAGACAGATGGAGAGAGTGAGAAAGCAAGCCACCAGGTCCAGGACTCGAACCACAGTGACCTACCTATAAGGGAATCCAGCGCCTCAGCTACCACACCTGACCTGCCAGCCCTCCACAACTGTTGAGTGGGGATATTTGACACTTCGCGGGATTGAGAGGAAAGATGCTATGTAAGACCCCCACCGCGTTCTCTGCTCGTAGTAAGCACGACATTAAATTAGTTTCCTTCGGCTTCCCATCGGCTCAGGTGCTTTACATCTGTATCAGCGCCCCCTTCAGGGCTCCTTGACATGGCAGCAAGGAGCCCGTGGATCCCGCCAGAGGGCCGGAAGGAGGGCCGGATGGAAGCCCGCAGAACTGCCTCAAGCAGCGCGTTGTGACCGGCGGTGCTGGGAAAGGAACGGCCCGCTCTGCGCTTACAGGATCCAGAATAGCCATCCAGTTCAAAAGGAAGGGAGCCGTGGAACAGGGGGACAGATGGCAGGAGCCAGACTTGCAATGAGGCTGGTGAGGTCGGGGCCCACAGACCTCCTCTGGCCACACCCTCGTGATCTTAGGCTCTGGCCACCTCCCAGCGCCTTGCCCCACAGGGCGGGCAGTCTCGGGACCTTCCTCGCTCTTTCCAGCTGCCCCTACTCACCGTCAATCCAAGGATTCTTCTCCGCGAGACTGGTGGTGGCCACTGCGGCACTGCTCGGCCCTCCTTGCTACTCCTGCAGGGTGGGGTGAAAGGCCCGGGCTAGCTCAGGTTCCTATCACTAAAGGACCCACCCGTTTAAGGGAGTTACTAAGACCTTCAAAGGAAGAGGAGGAGTGACAAGGTTAACCAGTGAAAGTTACAAAGGCTCCAGAAAGCCCAAGACTTCTTGCAGTCTCCTACCACCGTTTATATGGACATCTGGAAAGGGTTAGAACGGTATTATTATCAAATGTAAAGAGCAAGTTTAGAGGAGTCTGAATGTGCCTGTGTATCCACATATGTTTGATGAGTTACAAAAACAAGGCGGGAGGCCCAGCCAAGGCGTGCAGGGCGTAGGGGCTGCTGTGCCATGGGAAAGACCACGTGGAAGGTGCAGGTTCATTTCCTGGGCTGACCTGAACAGCCAGGTGTGCCCACTGGTCATCTGTCTTCCTGCTTGGCTGTGGGCTGCAGAGACACCGGAGGGAACCCTGCGGAGGGCGCCCCTCTCCCTCTCTCTAGGGAAATAAACTTTGTTTTAAAAGGGAAGACAGGCTGCCCCTAAAGCGCAGTGACTAAGCATTTGTGCGTAAGGACCTGGGTCCCACGTGGCCAGCTGTGGTTGGAATCCCCAGTGTCTGGAAAAGCACACCGGGAGTTTCCAGCCAAGTGGCGTGGTGGTTGAGGTGGCTGGATCCCATATGGTTGGCTGTGGGGTTAGAGTCCCAGACCAGCAACTTGAAAACACACCAAGCACGTGTATGTGCACGCCCCAAATCCTGAGAGAATGGAGGAAAAGAGATTGAGTGTGACCATGCCCTGAAGGGTGTTTTCTCACTCTCTCTCTATCTCTCCAGCAAGCACACATGCCGTATAGCAAATTAAAAAAAAAAAAGATAAGAAAAGCGGGACCTGCAGGTGGCGTAGTGGTTATGTCGCCGTAGTCAACAGAGGTTTGTTTTTTGTTGTTTTTGTTTGTTTGTTTTTTGTTTTGTTTTGTTTTTGGTATAGGGCGCGTGTGCTCGCCAGACAGACAGAGAGAGACCGAGAGACAGAAAGCGAGAAATCACCCCCCAGGGGGGATGGCCACGCTGCAATCCCTTCTCCTCCATTCTCCTCTCGGGATCTTGGGCCCGCACGCACACGTGCCCGGCATGAGTTTTAAGCCACCGGGTCCGGGAAGCAAACCGCGGTCAACTACGTGGGAGTCCAGCGACATAGCCATTATGCTAACTGCTGGTCCCGTCAACTGAGTTTTATGTCCCAGACCAGTGGCTTCAAACTCGCACAGCGTGTGCATGTGCATGTGTGCCCAAAATCTAGAGAGGAGAAGAGAGAAGAGATCACAGCATGGTCATCCCACCTGGGGGTTGAGGGGCTGTGATTTCTCGCTTTCTGTCTCTCTGGCAGGTGCACCCACCCTAGAGCAAAAGTCTCTCTTAAAAAATAAAATGATGCCAACTGGAGGGGCCAGCAGGTAGGTGGTAAGGCACTGGACTCCCACATGGTTGACCGTGGTTTGAGTCCCAGACATGGCAGCTTGCTTTTCACTTTCCTTCTCTTTCTCTCAGCCTCTCTCTGGTAAAATAAAAAATAATAATAATAAATAAAATTAAAATGAAATAATTATTTTTTTAAAAGGCTGACTGGGGGGTCAGCAGGTGATATAGTGAATAAGGGTGCTAGATTTCCACAGGGCTGACCACGGTTTGAGTCCTGGACCTGGTGGCTTACTCTCTCTCTCTTTCTCTCATGCTGTCTCTGTCTGATAAAATTTAAATAAATAAATAAAGTTAAATAAAATAATTCTAAAAGAAAAAAGACATCTGTAATCGTTCTTTTTTTTTTGAGAGGTTTTTGCTATAGGGTGTGTGCACTCGCCAGACAGAGACAGAGAGACAGAAAGCGAGAAATCACCCCCCGGGGGGATGGTCCCGCTGCAATCCTTTCTCCTCCATTCTCCTCTCGGGATCTTGGGCATGCACGCACACGCGCCCAGTGTGAGTTTAAGCCACCAGATCCGGGACGCGAACCGCGGTCGACTACGTGGGAGTCCAGCGACATAGCCATTACGCTAACTGCTGGTCCCTGTAATGGTTCATTTTTAAAAATGCTGACTGGATGGAGAAATGGAAAGAAATGGTTATAGACTAACAACTCTCTATTGGGGGTGCTCGCTCAGCAATTAAAATTTCCTTAAAGAAAGGAGAGTTCATCGATAACAATGGTTTATGTGTAGGGCATGAGATTAGGATAGGAGAATGGCTTCTTTTTACTTTGTACACTTCTATCTACTTAAATGTTTAAAATGGGTATAAACTGCCATTATATTTTGATGGATATACATAGAGACATCTTATTTTACAAATAACTATTATAAGAAAACAAAAATGTGTATAACCGCGCTAACCAGATCTTTCTCTCATATCCCTGTATTTTGCCTTTATCCCTGGAAATAGTAGTTTATTCTTCTCCTTCTTTACCACCAACGACCCCACGTCTACCCCTAGAAAAGAAGAGAAATAGCCATGCGTGAGCAAGCCCCTGGGACTGCACTCACGGGCCCATTACGTCCCTGGAAAGCAGAGTCTTATTTCAAAGCACACTTTCCCCTCAACACACAGGAAACCGGAAATGGCGGATTAGTCCAGTCCTGAACACCTGGTCTCCAGGAGGAGACGCCAAACTCCATCTAAGCTTCAGAGGCAGCCGAAGGACCACAGCTGAGGAGATCTGTCTTCCAGTCCCTGTGCTGCCACTAAGGAGTGTGTGACCATGAGTAAGGCCCTTCTCCTGGGGCTCCACTTCCTCTACTGAACGGGTGGGGGTGTCAGTGCAACCTCTAGAACAATAGGGAATAAGATAATGCAGGTAGAAGTCCATTTTCTTTTTCTTTTCTTTTCCTTTTTTTAGAAAGTTTTGCTCTAGAGTACAGAGATAGCCAGCGAGAGAGAAAGAGACAGACAGACATCCCCCAGCCGGGATGACCACACTACCACACTACCACCCCTTCTCCTCCATTCTCTTGGAATTTGGGGCATGCACACACATGTGCCCAGTGTGTTTCAAGTCACCAGGTCCAGGACTCGAACTGCGGTCAGCCAGTGGGAGTCCAGTGACATAACCATTACACCATCTGCTGGGCCCAGAAGCCCATTTTCAATTGCAAAACGCTCCACTAGCTAAAGTAAAGTCGAATGGAGGCCTCCCCGCCTTCGCACAAAGCAGAGCCATGCTGTGTATTGTGGGAGATTTATGAATAGACAAGAGAGGGAAGAAGAGAGTGATGGAGAGGCTTGAGGAACTGGGGCGCTTCCTCTATCAGGAAATTCTAAAACAGACCATGAAGAGAAGGGTGTGTGTGTGTGTGTGTGAGTGTGTGTGTGTCGGGGAGGGTTCTGTGTGGCGCACACAGCATCTGATCCCAGCCTGGCACTGTCCCAGGGTTCTGGATCTGCCAGTGGAATCCTGTTTCCTGGCAGCAGGCCCAAGGCACAGGAAGGAGCCTGCAGGAGGCCTCTGACCTCTGTCTCATGCCCTGTGCCCTTTCCTCTTTCAGGGCACCTCCCATAGCACGCAGAGGCTCAGGGACACCAGGGAGAGCAGGTGGGGAGTCCAGGAGGCCGCACGAGAGCAGCACCCGGTCTGCAGAAAGCCCGGGCCTGGGCTCCAGGAAACCCCCTCTGCGCTCCTCTCTGTGTATCTGAGGCGTGAGCGTCGCCAGCCCACCCTGAACTGGACTGATGGTGTCAGGCTGGAGCAGGACTCTCCTGGCCCCACCCCGTCTCAGCCTGGAGTGACAGGAAGTGCAGTGCGGGAAGACAGCCACTGGGAGCCGCCTCTGGAACTCCCTCCTGTGGCCCACACAGGCAGCAGTTTCCTGCCCTCTGTCTCCTGCCCTCAGGCAACCTCTCCCAGAAGGAAAGAAAAGGCAGGCAGGAGGCAGGTGGAACACAGGGAAGTACATGAGAGGAGGAGCCTGGGGGACCAGGCACCAAAGGCGTTGAAAGGCCCAGGACAGAAGGCACACACCCAAGATGGGACAAACCACTTTATTCAGAAAAGCATCTTAGTAAACACCACTAAACTATGAATGAGGCACTTCGGGTCCCCTCCCCAAGCATCCCCACCTCTGCGAAACCCACTGTCTTCCGGCTTTTGTAGAAATCCTCCCTGGGTTTGCAAGAGGCCAGGGGGCCGTAGAGCTGGGAGCTGCCCAGGGAGGGCTTAGGCTGGACTGAGCCTGGTGTCCACACAGGGATGCTAGGAGACAGCCTCCAGGGTGAAAAGTTCCAGGTCACGTCAGGTGGCCCTGGCCCAGGGCACAAGGCCTGGAGGGAGGGGGTGGGCGTGGCAGCTGTTCTACAGGTCCTGGCACCTGGCAGGCAGAGGGACCGCCAAGCCACTGGAAGCCAAGCGAGAAGGCGCTTCTGGAAGAGCTAGTGAGCTCTGGAACGCTCTGGGCACTTCTGGAGGGAGACACGGAGGAGCTGTGTGGTCCTGAGGAAGGTCACCTGACCACAGACCCTGATGGGGGCGGACCTGAGCTGAGGATGCAACCAACATAGTGGTCGAAAAAAAGAAAAGGACCGCCCCTGGCCTGGTGGTTCAGAAAGCTGGATCTGGGCCAGCCGGTGACATAGAGATTAAGGCGGCTGGGTCCCATATGGCCAACTAGACTAGGTAGTTCGAGTCCCGTCCTGGAGGCTTGAACGATACCAGCTGTGTGTGTGCATGACCCAGATCCCAAAATGACGGAGGAATAGAAAAGGGGCTGCAGCGTGACCATTCCCCATGGGCGTGCGTTCTCCCGCTCCCTTTGTCTCCGTCTCTCTTTGGTGAGTACAGGAACCTTCTGGCAAATTTAAAAAGAAAAAGGAAAAAGAACAAAGCTGGAACTGGGACCCATTCTTTAGGCTTCAGGAGTACACAGCTCAGTTCCAGGTACCCAGAACTTGTGCCCAAACCCTAGCACAGGGGGAATCAGGAACTCCCCGACCTGGGCTCTTCCACTGGATGGTATGGAAAGCAGGCTGCTGAGCAGTTGCTCCTGCCCCCCCCGCCAGTGAAGCCTGAACTCCTGCTGGCCCAGGCCTGAACAGTGTTGCCAGCCCGGGAAGTGGGCCCTGGGAGGTGGGCACAACCAGCTCTGGGGCTCTCCCTGGACTCAGCAGTGTGGGGACCTGCAACAGAAGAAACAAAGTCACTGAGATTCCAAGGTACCCATGTCCTAGCCACGCCCAGCAGGCTCCGGCTCACACACCCCTGTGGCAGCTTCACCTCGCCTGAGATGCTAAGGGGCGGAGAGGGCACTTAGTGCTCAGTTGTTTGTTTGTTTGTTTTTTTCCCTAAGAAGTTTTTGCTATAGGGCACGTGGACTCACCAGAAAGACAGAGCGACAGAGACAGAAAGCAAGAAATTACCCCCCAGGGGGGATGGCCATGCCACAATCCCTTCTCCATTCTCTTCTCGGGATCTTGGGCACACATGCACACACGCCCGGCGTTAGTTTAAGCCACTGAGTCCAGGACTCGAACAGCGGTCAACTACATGGGAGTCCACTGACACAGCCATCATGCCAACTGCTGGTCCCTGTTTTGTTTTGTTTTGAAAACTTTAATAAATTTTTTGCATGCACTCACCAGAAAGACAGAGAGAGACAGAGAGACAGAAAGTGAGAAATCACCCCCTAGGGGAGATGGCCATACCGCAATCCCTTCTCCATTCTCCTCTCAGGATCTTGGGCATGCACACATACATGCCTGGCATGAGTTTAAGCCACCAGGTCCGGGACTCAAACCACAATCGACTACTTGGGAATCCAGCGACATAACCATTACGCCAACTGCTGGTCACTGTTTGTTTTTGTTTTGTTTGTTTGTTTGCTTTTTGGAGAGGTTTTTTGCTATAGGGCGCGTGTGCTCGCCAGACAGAGAGATAGAAAGCGAGAAACCCCTCCCAGGGGAGATGGCCACGCCGCAATCCCTTCTCCTCCATTCTCCTCTTGGGATCTTGGGCACGCACGCACACGCGCCTGGCATGAGTTTAAGCCACCGGGTCTGGGACGCAAACTGCGGTCGACTACGTGGGAGTCCAGCGACATAGCCATTACCCTAACTGCTGGTACCTGTTTTTGTTTTTTTAAGAGACATTTTTGCTACAGGGCAGATGCGCTCACCGGGGAGCCAGAGTGGTAGAGACAGAAAGCAAGAAATCACCCCCTGGGGGGATGGGCACGCTGCAATCCCTTCTCCTCCATTCTCCTCTCGGGATCTGGAGCACACATGCACACGTGCCCAGCATGAGTTTTAAGCCACAGGATCCAGAACTTGAACCACGGTGGGCTACTTGGGAGTCCAGCAATGTATCTACTATGCCATCTGCTGGTCCCAGTGCTCAGGTTTTGAGATTTCCCAGAAGAGAGAAAAACAACACAAGTAGCCCCAGATTTAATGGGTACAGAATTTCAGTTGAGCGAGATGAAAAAGGTGCTTGGGAGGGCCGCTGGCATGATTGTACAACAGCGTGTGGGCACTTAGGGCTCGCGAACCAGACCCCTCAGAAATGGCTGATTTTATGTCATGTATATTTTGCCACAATTAAAAAATTCTTGAAATGTCCATAGTAACATGGGGCCAGCCAGGTGGCAGGCATGGTGGTAAAGGTGGTTGGATCCCAAATGGCCGACTGCACAGTTCAAGTCCAGCCTGCTGGCTTCAAAAACACGCCGGGTGTGCGTGCATGTGTCCCCAAAATCCCAAGAGGAGAAGGGACTGTGGGATGGCCACCCCCCTTGGGGGGGATTTCTCATTTTCCCTATCTCTGTCTTTCTTTCCCTCTCCCTGGCAAGCATATGTGTTCTACAGCAAAACGGAAAACAAAAAAACAAAAAAGCAGTATCTAACATGTAGCAACCCCCTCCTCTGTCCTGGGGAGGCCAGACTATCCAGTTCAAATCCTCTCTCTACCCCTCCCTAGCTTGGAGATCTTGGGCAAGTTATTTAATCTCTCTAGAACTCATTTTCCTCATATAAAGTAACAGAGGAAGATCAGAACCCGCTATTTAATTACTGAGAGAATAAGTGAACCCCTGCGAAATGCTTTGAGCAGCGCCAGCACACAGTGGGGCTACATAGGTGCTGTGATGGCAACACGTGTAAAACTTGCGATACCTGGGCCGTGTCCCCACCTAACCACACCTTCAGAACCACAACAGAGCCCCCTAACACCTCCACACCTAGGCGTTAAAAACCAATTAATCGGGACCAGCAGAAGGCGCAGCAGCTACATCACGGCACTCCCACACGGCCGGCTGAAGTTTGAGTCCCGAACCTGGTGGCTTCAAATTCACACCAGGCACATGTGCATGCGTGCCCAAGATCCCAGGAGAACGGAGAAGGGACTGTGGCCATCCCTGGGGGTGGGGGGATTTCTCACTTTTGCTCTGTGTCTGTCTCTCTCAGGCAAGTGCACAAACCCTAAGGCAAAACCTTCTACAAAATAATAAATAAAATAGGGACCAGCAGTTGGCGTAATGGCTGTCACCGGACTACCATGACCACAGTTCAAGTCCCGGACCCAGTGGCTTAAACTCACGCTGGGCGCGTGTGCGTGCGTGCCAAAGATCCCGAGGAGAATGGAGAAGGGATTGTGGTGTGGTCATCCCCCCTAGGGTTTGATTTCTCTCTGTCTCTCTGTCTCTCTGGCGAGCACACGCACCCTATAGCAAAAAAACTCTGAAAAAAATAAAAAATAAAAATAAAATAAAAACCAACTCAAAAGAAAAGAAAAGAAAAGAAAAACCCCATGCTGCCCAGATTCTAGTTTCTAATCCAGAGAAGTCTGGACTTTTTCAGAGGGCAGGCCTTTGGAAGACTTAGCCAAAAGCGTACATATCCTCAGCTCTCTGGACACTGCTTATTATTGTCACTCAGCTGAGTTTCCATGGCTCTTTGGATGCTGTGGTTCTTCCTGCCACCCCTCCAACTTGCTCTGAATAGAAACTTTTAACTCTGGAAGAGAGCCCGCTCTGTGCTTTCTATTCACAGCGTATCTATGACCCCTTTCAGAAAAATGAGCCTGTCTTACCTTCGAGGCCCAGCCAGCTGTCCGGTGAGCAGGACACTCCCCGCCATGCTGCCCAGTCCATGCCGGGGTCTCTCCCAGGTGACTTTCCTTCACTTCTCCCATCATGTAAACTGGAATTCGCCAGTTCTCGGGTCTCTGGTGGGCCAAGAGAGCAGCCCCACCCACTGGGGAGAAGACGCTCCCCAGATCTCCCCACCACAGCCAGTGGGTTGGGTCCCTTAGGAATGAAGAGAGCCGGGGCAGCACAGCCCTGCTGGAACCTTCTGGTGGGGAAAGCTGGCCCAGACCGCCTGGTGAACACAACACACACGTCACGAGGGCCTCTTTTACAGACGGGCTTCCCAGAGGCCTCCTATGCTAACCAGCACTGAGAATCTTCACGGGGACTTCGAGGGGAGATAGCACCAAAGATGGCCCACCTGGCCTCTAGCCCCTCTTTTAGAGGGGAGCCCCTGGGCCACAGTGGGCCAGGGTTCCCGCTTAACGTGCTTAGCTCTGGACTGCGGGTCTGAGTTCTCACTCTGGCTGTTCCCATCTGTAAAAAGAAGGGGTGGGGCTCACCCTCACATCCCTCCATGGTGGTGTGGGATCCCTAATGCAAACAGACAGGGCGAGCAGGGGAGCAGCAGCCTGCGACACTGGGGTCACTACGAAGCCAAAGTCAGAGGTCTTCCTGCCTGACCTTTATGAACCCTGAGGGCAAAGGCGGAGTAGGGCAGACTGCCGAGGTGTGAGGGAACAGCCCACCGGCCCCTCCTGCCCATCCCCACCGCTGGAGATGCGCCCCACCTCTAGGCACCAAAACGTAGGACGAGCAGGGAGGCGTGAGCAGGATGCCCACAGGTCAACTAAAACCAGACTCATCGCTCCTTCCCGGACCGGTCGAGGCCGGTCCCCAGCTCCGCCCGCGGCTACGTGCCTGCTTTTTACAGCACCCGAGGTTGGAACAGGGGCCAAGGAAGGGGGTGCTATTCCGACCGCCGGGTGGGAGGAAGCGGGTGGTGTCGCAGCCAAAGGCTGGTTCCAATTTGGGAGCCTCCCCCGGATCTACGCGGCGGCTGTCCACGTCTCACGCTCGCTGGCTAAGGGGAAGAGGTTTCTCCTCCGGGCCGCCAGTCTGGAAGTGTGCGTCCGCCTCCGGGATGGCAACCCTGAGCTGGTCCCAGGAGACTTTGCTTCCGGCGCGGCAGTCCGGGCGCTGGGCGCTGGCGCTGCCGTCGGACGGGCTGCTGGTCCGGGCTCTTGGGTGCAGGAGGCAGTGAAAACACAGGGCAAGGGGAGGGTGCCAGGGCGCATCGGCGTGGGGCGGTGGCAGGGACTCCGGAGGGTCCCCCGCCCCGGTCGGGGCCGTCGCGGGCACGGGCGACCTCACACCACCTCCTGCTTGCCCTGGCAGCGGCGGCAG